TAGGTACGTCTATTAATTTGATCAATAAGTATGCAAATCTAACATATAAACTCTCCGACATGTCGGCTGACTGCTAATATACTTTTCTTCGTATAATGTTCTTAGGTTCAACATTGAATAATAGTACGAGGTTTTAATAATATTGCCATGATAGATAGCTTTGAAAATTAGTAGTTGTTGGTATTTAATGTCGTTAATGATGTTTAAATTGGATAATGCATATTATGTGCGATTTTAAATTTTTTGAGTTGGCTTTTTTTTAAGTGTAAAGTTAGGATTTAGGTTAGCAACATTAGCAAAAGAGTATAGGTTGATTTTGTAAGGTTACATTTTAAATCGAGACCCTCAAATTTCAGCATCATCCGCGACATCAAATGAAAGCGTACGGAAAGGCGAAAAGGGTGTGTTTATTGATAGAATAAATAAAATTTATTGATCTTATAATAATAAACTTGATATTTCTTCTTTATAGGAGATAATAAAGGTATTAAGAGCATTACAATTCTTGTGTACATAATGATGTGTCTTAATATTTAATTGAAGACCAATATTAATATTACGTACCGTCGTTTTCGATCGGCCACGAGATGATCACCAAAATCTAACCAATCACAATGAAAGTTCGCTATGCTGTGATCACATAGGCATTCCTAGGTGCCTAAGAATGCCGCCTGCCCTATTCAAAATGAACGTTTGTCGAAACGTACCTCTATGTCATATTATCGAAACTATAATTGTCGGGAAAAATATGCAGTTATCTTGTATAGTATCCCTCTTCTCACACACTGTCCCCGGGTTAGCCTGAGTATTGTAGGCGATCGTTTTAATGTGTTTATAATAAAATAAAATAATTTTATTATAATTTTTCTGTCAACAAATAATTTTTTTTTTTTTCTCCATTTCATTAATTTAATGAGGATAAAGGTCGCTAATTATATAATACTCACGTTAATTTATTAAGCAATGACATGATGACTATTAATTTTACAGTTAAAATTCTCATTAATTCGAAAGCTAATAATATTTATCTGACTCATTGATCTTAGTTATATTACCTATGATATTATTAGGCCAAGACCATTATTTTAAACCCCAAAGATCATTAAATAAAACTTATTATTACTAAAAGCCTGTATAGGATTTATCAAGCCAATCAAATTAATAATCATCTGTCTTTTTGTATTATAATATATGAATATCTATTCAACCTTAATCCTGATTTCTGTTTATAAAATCCGTTCCCGGCTTTGATATTAAATGCGCATATGTTGGTTTTTGAGTTTGACACTATTGATCGAAAATGGGATATATATTTGGGTTTTAGTTATGAACTCAAATTAAGTAGAAATCCCAATTCCCATACCCAAACTATGCAGTAATGTCATAATTCAAAAAAAATGGTTTGGTCTACAACCCTATCGATCAAATATATGTTTACCACGTTGTTGAAATTGTGTCATGGGTTTACCGCTTCCAACCACGCCAACTAAAAAGAAAAAAATATGTAAATAAATAATATTAATTAATTTATACTAATGATCAATGAATATCAATATTTATAACTACTTTTAACAATGTAATTAAATACAAACCTTTGCCTTCTGGATTTTCTGGAGTAGCAAAGATACTTCTTTTATTGATTGGAGGTTGCACCAGTCTTTTCGTCTTCGTCGTCTTCTTTCCAGGTGCCACTGCAGGACCACTCGCAAATGCCAACCAAGTTTTTTGCTTTGCTACTTGTTCGTTAACTTTCTTTTGGCCTTCTCCTGCCTTCTTTTTCTTATGTTCTCTTTCCTTCTTGCTTTCGGCTAAGGCCTTTTTTTTATTCTTTTCCAGAGGTTTAATGTCTTGAACATTAACAAGTTCAACGTTATTAAAACCTTTAAAAACAACAGAAAAAACTTGATCACCACCACCAATAGCCGTTATCTGAGCTGGATAAAACTGCCCGTCTCCCGACCAACGTGCTAAACAACTATCTCCCACTTGAAGAGGTTTAGAAAAGCTTAGTATTGAATTTGAGGTCGGTGTAGTTGGCGTAGAATTAGTTTTAGGTGAAATAGACGAAGGTGACCTTTTTGGTGTTGGTGGAACTGCTTCTTGATCGATAATAGTTGTTGTTAAACTAATAAGTTCTGTCAGATCAGTTTTCAGCTTCAAGAGTTCTGAATTTTCTGGATCGTTTTTCAGAGCGAGATTAACTTGATCAAGTTGGTATTGATATTGTGCAAGTTCGTCAGCATTCATTGTTGAGATTACTTTCGTGTGTCGTTCCCTTAAGCGTTAAAATAAATAACCACGTTTCTTCGCTTATTTGAAAATAAACACCTGATATTACTATATATAAATCTACAACAACCAATTAAATTTTTTATTTATTGTTTAACCATATAAGTCACGGGGCATGTCAATGTTAAACGGTTTGTTCATCACATTCATTTATATTTTATCATTATCACGTCGCGTAATAAATAGTATAATTAAAGAATGCGATGAACAAACCGATAACCAATATTTAAAATTAATATATTGTATTTTTTAAAGCGAATAGACAGAAATTTAATAATTATAAAATATTTTAAGGAATTGTGCGCCATTTATATAGCAATTTCAAAGGCATCCTATATTCTTGGGTTTAGATCACAAGGCACAATATTTGGTATTCAAAGATTCAAACATAAAAGTATTACTCATTCTTTTTTTATTTATAATTTTAATTTCAAAGTAAAATATCCCACATTGTGAAGTTTTACTTATAGCAATTTTAATTTTAATTAAAAAAAATAATTAATTAATTAAAAATAAAATTTTTATATATTTAATAGACAAATTGCAAGTCACCTAAACAAATATTTTTTTTTTATATGTAAATTTTACTATAAGCCTGAATGTGCAGCACTTTAATCTAAAACTTTTTTTTACTAAGTAAATCACTCTTGAGCTTAAAACAAAAGTTGTAGAGCTCATGATAGCTCTCTCTGACAATCACTTGTACCAAACTTATAGCTAACGAAAACAGAAACTTGTTGGAGAAAAGTAGAAGAGACAACTACAATTAACAGTTTTTACAGAGGTCAAGGCTTATCATGTTCTTTCTCTGGACTTCTCTGTATATTCAGCATGCAAGTTAAAAGTATTCTTGTATAAGATAACTGGCAAAAAGGTGGTGCCTTTGTGCAAAAAATTTTAATAGAAGCTCTGCTTCTGCTGACGAAGTTAAAGATAGTTGGTCTAAGGAGAACAACAAGCGAGTTTTCAACACACTCTTTACTGAAGTTTAAGGATATCTGCAAACCAAAACCCTTTACCAAACTCCACTTTTTGTGCTTTTCGAAATTTTCACCAAAAAGTAGGAAAAACAGTGTATTTTTAACAAAAGATCAACACAGTAATCGCTGCCGAAAAAAGAAAGTTATGTATACATGTATGTGTCTACTTTGGGATGAATAGTAATAGATAATGTGATAACGTTTGAAGCATTGCAGAAGACCCACCGATCTAGTTGGGATAGCACTAAAAGTTTTGATCTTGAAGTTCTATTTCAAGACCAGATGGTTTTTAATATTTTTATATCCTGGATATAGACAGAAATAACTAGCGTAGAGTTTAGTCTAGTTTATTTGTAATACTATATAATTTTTACAATTCAGCACGATTTAATAGTGCTATCTTTGTTTCTTTTTTTTTGTTTTCGTTTTTTCATTATTTGTTTTATTTGATTTTATTGGTAGGTGGACCAGAACTCAATGCTATAGTATTTCTCCATTTTTGTTATGCTCTTTGTATTTGTGTTTGTATTTTATTTTGTAAAAAGGAAAGTTAATTTTAATACAGTATGTGGCACCAGCTCATAACAAAAGGATAACCTCTAGTAAGTTAGGGGCTCAGAAAGAAGCTTGAAGTTCACTGAGGTAAGTCATACCTGGCAAAAGCGTAGGTACATCACTTTACAGATGAATTAGTTATAGCTATTATTAGGGAATGTAGATTTCTTAATATAGTTTAATCTTAATAAAAAGTGGCAGAACAGCTGAATTATAAAAAAAAAAGTTGTAGAACTCATCAAGATGCATCTAATAGTGAAAGAACACTAGAATCGATCTGGTGGTTCTTGAGAAATCTTTAAAAAACTTCTTTTTTATATATAAAATTTCTTTAAAAAAAATCGATTTTTTTTAAAAAAATTTTATATGTGAAAAAGAAATTTTTTAAAGATTTCTCAAGAATCACCAGACTGATTTTAGTGTTCTTTTATTATTTAATGCATTTTGATAAGCTCTACAACTTTTGTTACAAGCCAAAGAGTGATTTACTTAGTAAAAAAAAAGTTTTAGATAGAAGCGCTGCACATTCAGGCTTATAATAAAATTTATATATAAAAAAAATATTTGTTTAGATGACTCGTAATTTGTCTATTAAATCATTAACTGTTAATTAGGTTATTTGGGTACCAGATCCTATCATATAATAAAATAATTAATAAAAGTTATTTTTGTATCATACATATAATAATCATTTATAAAAGCTATTTTTGTATACTTGAACTTGACAAAGTAATAAATGATAATAACCTATTTAAAGATATTTTTAAGTTTATTAATAAAGGTGTAGAATTATTTAATTATTAAAAAAAACAGTGCTAGAAATAGCCAAGCCAACCTTAGAGCAAGAAAACTCAAAAATAATTATTAAATTTATAACAATAGTATTAAAAAGAAATAAACTCTAGTGAACCTAATTTAAAAACTTTTAAGACTTGCTTACATTATACGCACAGATTAAAAATATGAATCTGAATAGATTAATGTTTCTTAAAATTCATAATTTTGCCTTAGTATGTTTATTTTTGCTTAAAAAGTTTCAAAGCATGAAGGTTTGGTTGTATTGCAAGTACTATATAAAATAGAACAAAAAGCTATTTTTGAGGGCATGATCTTTCTCAGCTTTATTCTTTTTCTTAATTAAAACTACAAATCAATAAAGTATTTGTATAGCTAAGCAATTGTATCTAGTCTTGTAAATGCGGTTTCCTTTTAAGAAACCTCTAAAAATAGCAATTAAAAAAGCCTACCATTGCAATTTACACAATTTACACAATTTACTATTAAAAATAGGCATATCGATTACTCAAATTTCATATTAAAAATTTTACTCCAGTGATCTGCATGACAAATCATATAACTGCTAAGTTAGTTTTGGATATTACCAAATATGAGGATCATCTAAAGATCTTCCCCAGGTGCATCAACAAAATTTTTGCAATCATATAATGATCAATAAAATTGTTTAAGTTCTTTATATTAGGGTTAGCATTTAAACTAAAGTTGAATATTAAGAAGAAAATCGTAAAATTTCTCAAAGAAATTTTTTGTTAATGCATAAAAAATTGTTTTTTAAGCAAATTTTTGAGATAAAGACTGTTTGTTTTGATCATATAATATTATACCAAATCAAGATTTTTTATTAGATAATTTGTTGTAGATCACTATATCAGTTGCACAATAAGTCACAACTAGATTTTTTTTATATATAAACTTATAGCAAAAACATATAAAATTATATATAAACTTTGAAACCTGATGATTTATTTCTTTATATATTAACTTTAAATTAAATTTTACAAATAAATACATTAAGAAGAGGAGAATAAAATGCTTTTGAAGCTAAATTAAAATTTTGTAATTTTTGTACAATTTAAAAATATAACTCTATTAAAAGAAAAATTTAACAGTTTTAAAGTAAAAAATATATGTAAAATTATATTTTGAACAACTTTCAGTTAGTAAGTAAAAAAGGTTATCTTAATAAAAAAAAGGTTTTCTATGTACTAATGTCAAAAAAATTTTTAGTTTTTTTATATAAACCTTTTTTTTTCTGCTTAGATAACCTGTTCTGACTTCTTAAGTAAATTTGTTTAGTACGTATTTTGTATCTCGTCGATTTTGTTTTTTTGAGCATTTTACTAAGTGAAAGATTGGATCAAAGGTTACATGAAAAATTTTTTTAAATTTTTTTTTAAAAAATTTTTTGTATAACCTTTGATCCAATCTTTCACTTGGTAAAATGTTCAAAAAAACAAAATTGACGAGATATAAAATATATATAATTGTATACTAAACAAATTTGCTTAAGAGTTCAGAACAGGTTATCTAAGCAGAAAAAAAAGTTTTATATAGAAAAACTGAAAATTTTGATATTAGTACATAGAAAACTTTTTTTTTACTAAGATAACCTTTTTTACTCACTAACTGAAAGTTATTCAAAGTATAATTTTACATATATTTTTTACTTTAAAACTGTTAAATTTTTTCTTTTGACAGTGTTACATTTTTAAATTGTACAAAAATTGCAAAATTTTAATTCAGCTTCAAAAGCATTTTCTTGATGTATTTATTCATAAAATTTAATTTAAAGTTAATATGTAAGGGAAGAAACATTATTGCAACAAAGTTTATATATAATTCTATAAGTTTTTGCTATAAGTTTATATATAAAAAATTTAGATGTGACAAATCAGGTGACTGATATATATATATATATGAGTATTAGAAACTTCATGATGCTTTTTCAAATAAACTGGGATTAGAAATTTTTTTAAACTTCAAAGGTAAGGCTATGGAGATTAGAAATTTTTAAACTTGCTTAATAATATATTAACAAAAAAATAGGTAATTTAAGCTATATTCATATTCAACTCTTTCCGACAATCATCTGGTCAACAAAAAACAAGAAACCGAACTACGATCAGCGCTATAGAAGATGCTTAAGTAAATAATAAACTTGGTTCTATGAAAGAGGTGTGTTGTCAACGAAGTACCAAGAGTGTAAAACCGAGACACGGTCTACTTTGGACTGGTTTTTGTAGAGGTTAAGCTCTTCTTCTGGCGGACTCCTCTATTATATTCGGCATCCAAACCAAAAGGATATTTTGGAAATACAGAACGTCTAGGACGACACTAAGAGTATTACAAGCTTAAGGTATATCTATACAACCGTAAAACTTACAAG